CAAATTTTCGCAAATAAGGGATGAACACCTCCCAACACCTATCAAACCACCAGACAAAGAATGAAAACGCATAATTAATCACCATCCCAGTTCTACCACCATAGAATTCTTTCTACATCGTCCGCCCACACCCTCGGTCGCCATGGCATCAAGCCCGAAACGAAGAGCAGCGAGCAACGATTCCCGTCGATCCTCGGCAAAATGCAAATCACGCTTCAGGATTTTCGCGATTTTCCCGGAGCAGACAGGCGCAAGCGGCCTGAGAGAAAGACAAAGCGGCGAACAAAAAACAAAAAGCAAAAAGAGAGAGAACAGACTGCACAGAGAGCGGCGAAGGGTGCGAGGGGGTGGACGCGATATTACGGAACAACGGTGCACACATTGTGACCGTGGTGGGTCGTTATTGTTTCACGCTGCAAAATATCGCATTCTGTTTACGGTGCGGCTGCCATTGAAAATATTCACGAGTCTAGGAGATGCTATGGACGCCATGACGTCCACCTTGAGCCATAAGCATGTGAATGCACAAGGTATATCAGAGACAGACAAAAATGAACCATGAAACTTTTGTTTGAATTTTTGCGACTAAACCTTTCACTTAACTATAAATAAATAAAATCAAAAGTTAGGTTAGGTAGCTTATGCTTCTCCAAAGAATACAATAAACATGAGGGAATGACGTTAACTTGAAAATTTCATGAACGTTTCCTTCAAATATCAGAAGAACAGAAATGACAACGCCAGAACCGTGCTGAAAGCGATCCACGGTGAGACAGAAAAGTTCCCGAAGGAAGCGGGCTATTTATAAGACGGAAGTGGCACGGTCAATTTAAAAAACAGGAAGAAAGCGCGACCCGGCACCGGGGCTGGGAAGTTTTCGAAAAGTTCGCTGGCCGGATTCACCTCATAATTCAGGGGATGGATATTCTCGCAGTCGCCTCTCGTGTCTTCGGTTAGCTCGAAGGCATCACGAATATAAATTCTTACATTTTCGAAAAGCAGTTCCGTAAAAATAACAAGAGATAATACGTGATGGGTCATAAGTACCTCCAGTAAGTGTGCTCTACCAAATGAAAATTGAAACACGAAACCATCATCCAAAAATTCACCTTCATTATTCATTTTTTTCCACCCCTGGCCCACCGCTCATAGTTCAAACAAGCCCGTAATTAATGGTCGCGATCAATTATGCAGCGGCAGTTCGGGCGATTTGCAACTTGCGGGCAAGCTTGGTGCAGAAATTCGTTCACCGACGGAGAAGGCGGCAGAAGGAAGTCTGGTAACTCGAAATTAAATATTCATAATTAACATCCGTGCGAGGGTGGTCCGGCAAACAAGCAACGGGGGTGGCATTCGATCAAAAAGTCAGCCTCTTTCTATTTTCCATGGCTGCCTTGTCAGGTTAAGGGTTCCTCGTGAGGAGGAGCGAGGGGAACATGAAGGTAGGGCTCTCCGTGCTATCGTTTGCTCATGTTAACGAGACCCTTAATTATGTTTACATATTTACGGCGAATAAACTGTTCGTTATTAATGGAGGTCAAACGGGGTCTAACTGTGCTGCCAGCTTGTCGCACAGGTTACGACACACTCGTATAATATTTGCACTCGGAAGAGCCCTGCTGCTGCAGATGGTTATGACGTGAACTTTTTTTCTTCCTTGAGATATGGTACGTTTCCATTATCTTGATTGGAATTAACTTAAATGGTAGATAAATTTTTCATGGAAATTTTATTCCATTGATTGATATGTTAATTGCAAGGAAATAAATGTACGTATTTAATAAGACACATTTATAAAAAGATAATTGATCAAATTTTTAATTAAGAGCTTTAATCTTTCAATGTAAGGTTGAGTTATCTGAACTGGTTGTAATTCCTTTCCTAATGAGTATTAATTACTTTCCGTTTGTATTTTTAAACCTTCTGAGAAGAAACATCGGAAAATCAACTCAGCTGATTACATTTCCCTCGTCTTCTATTTTTAAACAAAACCGAGGTAAAACAGCACAGATATTTTTCTTAATCTCACTGAAATTACTATCGATCCATGAGTCAATAAAGAAAATCTTTCCCTTTTGATATAATTAAATACCATTACTGTTCTTCTCAAACATCACTAAATAAATAAAATTGCTTTAATAAAGCAATGTTTAAGATAAATATTTCAATTACTTAACAGAGTTCCTGGAAGTATTTATTAAACAAACAGCAACAATCAAACAACTGTTTGTATTTAATTACTCTTTCAAGAATTATACAAGATATAAATGCAAAATTGTTAAATAATTTCCAAGCTGTTTGATAGAGTAATGGAATTTCTCAAAAATTATAACAAAAAGCTTTCAGTAGATACAAAATAATTTTGCAATAAATTATTTGTAACACCTTCGTATATATACGTCACTGCGAAATAATTAATAACAGTGATCAATGCAATCGAGATCAGTCGATAAACATTTCAATCATGATAGATTTTCATTGTCCTGGAGATTGCAATCTGTTGTTTTTCATGATTTATAAACAAAGTAATCTCCTGTAGGTGATCGAGGGCCAGGGATTTTCTCATCAGCGCTTTCAGTATAAATTTAAATATTAATTTATGACTCCCTTCTGGAAACATGAATGAGGCGAGTGTTGCCTATAAATATTCAAGCAAGCTCATTTATTATTCTTGCATAAAGCGGTTGGCTTCCAGCTGTTAACAATAAATAAGTAAGCACGCGTCCAGTCTAATATCCTTCTCGATATTATCCATGCAGTTTTGCTGAAATTTTGATGCTATACTCTCCAAGTTTTTCTTTTTAATAAACTTTAGTAAGCTATAATTAATGGGTCACAATAACTCATGATTGAAAAGTAACTTCTGACTTCGGATGAATTAGGTTAGGACAAAGTAGCGTCAGTTTTTAGGTTAAGTTCAGGTTATAAATAAAGATCATTAAAATGTAAATTAAATCTGATATGAAAATTGTACCTTGTGCTAAATGAAGTTAAATAAAAAAATGCACTCTATTTTAACCTTTTCCCTCCTACGATTATCCGATCCAACCCCTAGTTACATCGCACACTTTCAATCCCCAACAGCACCACGTCTATCATCCTGCATGGTGTACAACAACGCGTGACTTCCGGCTCCATTACCACGCGCGTATTATTTTACATCAAACGACGCGACGCAGAGCAGCGACTCGAGATTTCGCTGAATAATTAGACGCGGTTTTGACTTGCAAAAAGTCCTACACGCCCACGTAGAACAGAGGCAAAGTGGACGCTCGCCTTGACATCGTCCAGGGAGATCTAATTATTCCCCACCTGAAAGGAGGGAATATTGTGCCTGAGATAATTGAACCAGCACCGAGGGGTGCGTGAAAAGCGTGGACAGTGTTAGGAAAGGAAGGACACTTTATACTTAACACTGTCCGTCGGTATAGGTAAAAGGATCGATGATCATGAAAGGATTTATAGCGACTGTTGCCTGTTCCAACCATATGATTAAACATAACCTCAATTCCCCTCCATTAAGCTCGGAGTTTCCAGAAAACATGCAGCGCCCTCTAGATCGTTTGCCCTAGTATCGCAGTGCACATTTGGACAATAAAGTCTCCTTCGATGCCAGAATCAGTAAGCTATTCGTCCTGCGCTTAGGAGCTTCTCAACATCTGATCATGCTGGTATATGTGTGTATGTGTTACACAGTTCTATCTCTGTCCCCAGCTGCCGAGAGATAACATCCAATTTGTGCGCAAACCAGTAGCCAGATTCTCGACTTCCTCTTTTACGGTCCATTCTCAAATTCTTTGGATCTCTTCCTGTTCCTTTGACTCGTCTCGTCCTGGCTTCCTCTATACCTTTAACTTCGTTTCCCGTATTCTTTCACTACACCCAACGTTCTTCCTTTCCCTTGGTCAGAATTGAGGTCTAGAACAGTGCCGCCATAGTTGTACCTTCTATTTTCACATGAATGGTTCGTTGTCTATTTCGTTCTGACATTCTGATAGGAAAATCTAAGCAGTTTAAAGTTATTTCGTGCAATCTCTGCCATTTGCTTCTTCGAATAATCTAATCTTGCCTTTAGCCATTGAGGTTAGTTTCGAAGTACACCGTCGAGTATGCTGGCCTGCCCCAGGGAGAAAGGCGCCATAGGGGAACGAGGTCCCCACCACTCTCCCCAATACTTAGGAGTTACTATGCAATGTGTCTAGGTTAGGGAACACCATACACTTAAGTGCCACTCATTAACTCATCTAACCAAATAGCTGCTTCATTAATTTTACGTAAACTTAAAACTTCCTCGATTATCCGAATCTCTTCGTCTCTTGTTAAAAAAGGAAAACCACTCAGCCACCACAGATTATTCTTCAGCAACGTCAAAGAAATCGTATGATCGACGCTTGGCTATCGGTATCGAAAGCCCCTCTAGCCGAACGCAAATGTACAATGCAAACAGCCGTGTACAATGCCAAGTGGAATTCTCTTTGATGCCGTCGCTCGATATCCTCCAGGACTTCTCTGTTCCCGCAGAGCCACGCGGATTACCCACTTGTCTTTCGATTTCGATGGACGCCCTCTCCAGAGCCCGTCCCGTCCCATTCATTGGTAGAGAGGTCGCGTCTCGACGCCCAATCGAGCCTTTCTCTCCTTTATCTTCATCGGTCGCGCGTGTTTTATTGTGCCGGCAAACAAATCGTTCTCGAAGAAATTATTTCATTTAGCCCTCTGGGCTCCCGGATGCCGAGGAAGGACAAGGCATCGAGTTCCTAGCTGTAGCGTGTCTCCGGCAGACGGGACGCCCTTTGAACGATTTTATTGCCTCCATTTCGTGGCACGCCGGTTTTCACCAGATTCTGCCGCGTCTTATTCGATTTGAATTTCGTCTTTGTCGCAATCTCTTTGTTCCTGCGCCGTGTTTCTCCTTCTCCCTCCTCTGTCAGGGCCAATTTCTCGCTCCCTGTTTATCGCTGTCGAGGTTATAGCTTTCCTTGCAACGATTTACCTTGTTTAGTTAGAACCTCTGAGTCAGAACCCTTCCGTTGCTGCGTTAGACAAATACAAATTGGTGGCAAAAATTTGACAAATGATGTTTTTATTATTTACTTTGATGTCATGAATCTTGTGTAGACTGAATAATATTGACGTAGAAGTTAATTCCACGACACTGTGTACAGTGGCATTGAAAACGAGCCACAAGTCGGAGGAAGCAACGAGCAAAGCAATCATGACGTTTCAATCAGGCCAAGGAAAGCGGTGAATCATTCCGGACCGCCTGGTCCACGAAACAAACACAAAAGAGGGTATCGAGGGATCTCGAGTTGCATCGGAAGATATCAGAAGGAGGCCAAAAGAGGATTCGCATTTTCCATTGTGTCGAGAACATAGTAGTACGCGTTCTCGTCGGCTCGTATATCCACGAGGAGAGTTATCGAGATGTTTATCCACTTATAAAGGCTGCTATCCGAATATTTATTCGTTCCCTGCATAGTCTCGTTCAATTCTGATGCATATCGACACTTTTCTTTATTGACCTTACAAAATGTATTACAGAATAAAAAGGTTAGATCCCTAACCTAACCTAAAAAAGGTAAAACTGACTTCGTCGTTTGAGGTTAAGTGCCGAAAGCAATTTTTGAAATAACTATTATTTCAGAAATAATTATTTCATCGCCCTCCGTTGAATCATCCTCCAGAGACGAACGAGTGCTTGCTTTTCCTGACACGTACCGCCCCTGGAATAATTACCATCAATCCGGCACGCAGCCAGAATGCTCAAAAACACCTTCCAAGAATCTAGCGTCGCTATTTTCACCGCAAGGAGGACAGAAGTCAACAGCTCCGCGTAAAATTAACACGTCCAGCCAGCGTGCAATTACCCACCCCCCTGGTACATCCCTCTGCTGTCTCTTCCTCGTGAAAGAATCGAGGGACCCTCCGTGCCGCCATTGGTACTTTGATTTTATTAGCGCCAACCACCCTTCGGGTCTGCGGACGACTTGCCAAGATCGTAAAACAATAACGAGCAATCGCATAATAGGTCTTCTTAACCTCTATTCAACGGGATCCATTGAATGATGCTTCGACGTCACGCCACATCGTCTGCCTCGTGGATTATTGATGACAAAACGATCCGGATTCCATTCAGTCGAACTTTCGACTTGCCCTTGATGATCACCGCGAGAACTTCGTAATTATTGCTGAAGAGGATTTGTCGACCGATCGTTCGAGGAATTTTTAACCCGTTGGTTACACTCTGATCAATTCGATAAGTTGGAGGTGAGAGGAGGCTTGAACGGGAGCTTTGGTCCAAAAACTTTAGAGGTTCGTGGGTACATAAGGGGTGTCTCAGAGAAATGTACACCATTTTCCATATCAAATAAAATGAAATTAAACATGCACACAATATGTACTGTGATGTAAGTTAGGTTAGGTTAAGAATCGCCCCACGAAGATCTCACCATTTTGATATCATAATTTAAGATATATCTAAGAACAGAGTTCACGTATCCTTAATTTTCTATAACAACTGCTTTTAAGTAAGTTCTGAAGAAAAGCAGACTCATACGTAATTCAAGACAAAAGAAAAGTTAGGTTAGGTAGATAACTGCAAGTTGTTACCTCTTGGCCATTAGGAAAACTAGGTTAAGTCAGCGTAGAACAGTGTTCGACTATTATAGCCGTACAGAGAATTCACAGAACGCAAAACACTTTTGTTACAATAAGCGCACACATGCATTCGCATTCAACTTCCTATTTATATTCACGATTCACAACGCGGTTTCGCTCGACGGTAATATGCTCAGCTTATCCACGCTCGCCCGGCATAATATACTTTTCCGCCATTACGCGGCTTAACGGCAAATCCGATGATGGGGCCGCGTCGAAAGGGTTTTTAATATTTAAAAAAAAGTTTATTATGGCAGCGACTGAACGGCTGCCATTCTCGGATGTATTTATCAGTCATGTGTCAGGCTCGTTCGGCCGGATGTTCCTGAATTGACGATTAAATCCATTTAATGGAAGGATTCGAACTTGAAATCCATCGATCTTTTAATTGAAAATAATAACGCAACAATATAACGAAATTGCTTTCCATGCGTTAATTTTATTTGTTCAGAAAATTTGATCTTAAAAAGATTCTTTTAATATTTAATTTTGCGACATTTCTGATGGATTCCATGAGAATTCCAGCAGACTTCTGGAATTGTTAATGTATCGTTCCCTTTGAGCACCGGAAGCTCTTAATGTTTCAGTTTTCTCAGGAATTCGAGATTACCAGTTATTCATTCCTCTCGAGGGCGAGGAATTATTCAAGTTTTTTCGAGAGTTTTTTAATGGTTCGCCTGTTTCGCATCAAAGCGAACCGTACTACCTCGGAATTTCTCCTGGCCTCACCATCTTCGGCAACTGTGGGTGGAATTCATGAATGCCGTTCGACCGATAAACGACTCGAAATTTACCAAGTGAAAACTTCTAGCAAACTGAGAAACCTGGAATACGTTGCTTTACGTTTGCGACAATTCGAAAACATGATTGCCGAAGCAAATAAACTCGTGCTACAATTTGTTGGTTCTACAATACCGGGACAAAAACCCAGACCATTTCTCAAAAAAGGCTCAATTAGTCACCCTTTCTAACCGTAAACAAAATGTCAACTTCAGTCAGCAATAATTGATGAGGTTAGGTTGACGAGGTTAGGTTAGGTGAAACGTCGAAAGTAGCAAAGACCAAAGTTGAAGAAGGATCTGAACATCGGGGTTACTATCTAATTAGGACGAAAAAGCTGTCGTTCGACAGGGGTCTATATCGAAGGTGGGCGGGAGCCGAGTTGGATCTTCGCTTCGAATTTCCAAGTGCATACATCGCTAACTAGGTTACGTAACACAATTAGCGCCTCCGCTAATTTCTCAGCGCCGACTAGGCAACCCAGCCTAGGATGGTAGTTCACTATTAATGGGCAAATACAAAGCGTCGACTATCTAGGACGCTTGTTCACCTTCTCTCTCAGCCCCTCTCTCCTGTTGCCCATCAACAGACACAGAGACACAGTGTTCCACCAGCGACGGGTTTACACGTGAAATTGCGCGCGCGTGCAAGCTTAACTGCACGCCGAAGACACGTTTAGCCGCGCGTGCAAACACGATCGCGTGTGGAAAACTGTTAAGAAGGAAGCTACTTGAGAAAATGTTCCTTTGCAAGTGGCTGCAGTTTAATGTAATTGCTGAAACTTGGAGGTATTTTGGAATGGTACTCCACTGTTTGATTACTTGTTATTGAATTGGATCAATCGGAAAGTTACTTTTGATTTTCCTTTTCGATGGTGCTATAAATTTCATCCTTTAACGAAACCAAATTTTAAATTATTTTTCATGGAATAGTGCTATGGTGTTTGGAGGATTTTGTATGGTCCTGGCCAACGTAGGTCACTGACAATGAGGTTATGTAGGCAGAGCCACCTAGGCCGGCGGACCATGTAGAGAGCCCCATTTTAATTCTATTTTGTGTTTTATATTATTTTTATTTTACGTTTGGGTCACGATTAACATAGTTCAAAGGTTAAAAGAAAAACCAAAAACTCAAACTGTCGGGGTTCTACTAGTACAATTAATGCGAAAATCTGCCGCAGGTAGAAAGGGTTAATTTCGAAAAATGCAATTTCCCCATCTGACAGAGACAGACAGCACGAAGCATAGGAAAAATCAGCAAAAGGAAAAAATGAATACCGAGGGTGGAAAACACGAGCGCGAGCTTTCGTTGCGAGTGAACGTTTGACAGGGTGCATTGGTGCATCCGCCACTCGCTCGAAGGATGTGCGCTAAAAATGCACGTATCCGGCGGCAAATCCGGCGTAAAATATAAATCGGTAATGCCGCTGAAAAACTCGGTTGACGCTCAGCCCTCTGGCTGTACGATGTTTCGCTCCGTTGCATCCGGATCCTTCGTTTTTCCCCTTCCGCTACTTTTTTATTGTTGTTATTATTATTCGTTTTCCAGAGGACGGGCGAGACGAAGCTCGAAATGCATTTCTACGTCGCCAACGTAGAGGAACGTGGCTACAAATGAGGAACGATCGTTCATTAATGGACTGTTGAGCATTTCTCGATTCATATCTCGCGATGCAGTTTCTATGAACGACGACAATTTTGCCGGGTGATCTTTTCGAGAAGCGGAGTTAGGTTAGGTTGGCGACTAACCTAACCTAACTAAGTAGTGCATAACCAAATCTCTGACTCATTAGTTCAATCGAACGAAACGAGGACGAAGATCGAGAGGGATGGTCACAAGTGGAGGGGTATGGAAATGTGAATGAAAAAAGGAAGTAGGAAGTCGAGACGAGTTTTAATCGTCACCGTCTCGTTCCTTTTTTGTGGCACCGTGTGCCAGTGTCGGAATCCACTTTAACGGACCTTACTAATTACCAAGCGAGCCGGTCCTCAGCTTGTTTACCTCGACTCTGATTAACCCTCCACGTGGCTCTCCGCTCGGGGAACACTGACCTCCTGCAGTCTCCCCCTTTTCTTCCACTGTCGCGCAAAAAATTTCACGACCAGCTTAAAACGTTCGATGCGATTAATTTTGCACGCCGTGATTTCACGATAGGGTACGTGTGCCGTCTGCGTTTACTTAGATAATTGAAAAATTTCGATCCAGGTAGGGGAGGATTGAACTCGGTTGAACCGGGAAACTATGGCACACGTGTGTGTAGTTCTTCGGAATTATGAATCAGTGAATTTCAAGGTATTGAGATTGCGATATTGGTTTCCTGAATGATTTATGGAAGATGTTGAAGGGAATTGGATGAAGCTATGAGAAATGTGAGTTCACTCTGAGATAGAATATTATAGTTCTTATAACTTTTACGTTATAGCAGTCAACCTAAGTTCAAAATATAAACCTGGGTTACACTGTACTAGTCCCCGGTTCTCTTGAACTCTCATCCAAAGCCCCTTTCAAACAGCCCAGCCCAAAGACCGTAGCTAGGATCGCGTCAGAACTTGTCCATCCGCGCTTAATGCTGCTGGCATAATTCCCTTCAAGGTATCCCTCGTGCCGCGAAGCGAAAGAAATCCGATTAGCAGGCCGCACCTAAAGACCGTGATTCATAAAAACACGCGGGATTACAAGGGGGCCGATGATAATCGGCAGTGTCAGGGGAGTCTCGAGCCGGGTACGAGGGATAAGGTCCTGTGTAGACGAGCGACTACTGTTCCACTTTCGCCCTGGCACAGTATTTCCCCTTTCTTTATTTTCTCTGATAAACAATTTAACATCAAAATTATCATCAGTCATAATCAACTACCTTTGGCTCTTCAGCATGAGACAGAATGTACAAGTACCACTGTCTTTTGGTTAATGATAATTTTTTGTCAATGATTGTATTTTACCATTAAAGGTAGGAATCTGCAGAATCGCAGAGACAAAATCCCTTGTATGCACCAGGCTAAAGGACATTGTGCCTTATCTCTCTGCGAATGGTTGGATAATGTTGATATACCGAAGCTAGACGAAATTATGCTAACTGGGTCCCCTCGTCCGCAAACACAACCCCTGAACGAGGAGTAGAGGAAGGTCGTGGCTAGGGTCTGAGGGAGAGCCTCGACTCCTCGTGTCCACCCTTCTGATTCTTGGTTTCACACTCGGCCAAGCGGGAAAAGGAGGGAAAGGGGTGACAGGGTTTGGATCAAGTCTAGTCGTGCGTGCTGCCTCGATGTCGGCCTGTATTGTTTGTCTTGAGAACTGTTTCAGAGACACTGGGGATGTGGGGGGTTAGGGGAGCATGATTGTCTTTGGAACTGTTTGGAAAAATGTCTTGGTAATGTGAAGAGGATTCAGTGTTGAGATGAATAAGTGAGGTCAGGTATATTACATACACTATGTTTGAGTTAATCCCCACCGGAATGACGGGTCTTATAACCTATAAAGTCTTTTATTCTTTCAGTAGCAATATCAACCTTATTTCATAAAATTATTTGCAATAAATGTTAAAAATAGAAAGAATAGCACCTACCCTGTATAAAATACATACGATCTGCACGACCGTAAAAATGAAGATCCGTATAAAAAAAAGGTAGAAGGAAAGTGTTAGAAGCTTCGTGGCATTTCAATTATCTAATTGAACCACAGCTTTTAAGGTCGTAAGAAAACCAGCAACCTTCCTACGAAAAAAAGAAGAGAACTAGCTGAACATTTTTAATTCCAGAAAAGAAGGAAGCTTTCCACGATGCGAGCAGCGTTTTATCCGGTCCGCTGAGACCGTTTAAGAACGCTGAGACAGGTCGAGCCTCTGGTGCCACAGTCGAAAACGCGAGTGCATCAGACGCCAGTTTTATTATCGCGAGTAGTTTCT